AGGTCTAGACCGAACTCCTTATTACATATTTACAGAGACCCAACAGTACCACTATGAGCAAGGCGAAGGGGCAAGGAAAAACTGAAACGTAGGGCAGACCCTTCGGCTCTAGGTGGGTGGTCGTCTGCCTCGACGATGTAATAGTAGTTAAAATAGCAGTAAAGCATTTATTGATATTAGTAAACTGTTTATATTTTTATTGAGTGATAAGCCTAACACTAGTGTGGATGCACAAGTGATGAGTATTGTACCCCCATTGTTTCCCAATAAGTCCTGTGAAATGCAGATCTTGTGCATACTTTTGCACACCCTCAGCAGCTTCTGCAGGCAACTAATTTAACTAACTAATTTAACTGCTTTATCCATCCCCAATAACTTTTAATTTAGCGGGTTTTCTGTGCTCATATATAAATCTTACCACTGACACCAGCTGTCTTTTTCTGTGAAATGTCAGTCCTGTGTACATTTACATGTGGCTGTCAAGAAGCGGGGCACACAGGAATACGGCAGCTCATACAGCTCAACATGCATTTGAAGAAAGGCTAGACAGACATTCACCATGAAGAGACAGCAGTATGCATATAGTTAGATAGGAATTGCCCTGTCTCTGTCAAATCCAGCTAGAGACACTCAAAAGAGCAGGCAGGGAGACAAAAACGTGATTGAAGATGGCTATAGTGGGTGGCAATTTGCTTTGGCTTTAGCTGAACTCGCCACACACAGATGCATATGCACACGCAAACACACGATCAGACTTGACGTGAATGGCCATCCTGTGGTATCTAGTATAGTGGAATACAATGGGTGTGCATGGACATTTTAAATCAACAGAAGCTTTTCTGTCTAAATGACTTTCATTTCAATCCAGTTCAGCTAAATAGTTGTATCTACATGACACACATTAGATATACAGTATTGCCAGAGCAGTGGGTGACAAATTTAATCACACTCATTAAAGAGCAAGAACGACCCTAAAGAACAAATTAGCTATCTTTTTTTATGCCGTCCTTCATTCAGTATCCTTTCCCGTTTACAGTGATACATCTGCAGTGAGTGTACCTTTTCTTTACTCTAAGGCTGCATAAATATTCCTCACCAATTTTAAGAAGATTTTTTAAGATATGTATTCTCTCTTTCTCTTTTCTTCATGTCATTCCACAGTAACTAAGACCGTGTGTGCCGAGCAGTGTGACGGTCGTTGCTTTGGTCCCTATGTTAGTGACTGCTGCCATCGTGAGTGTGCAGGTGGCTGCTATGGACCAAAGGACACAGACTGCTTTGTAAGTGAACAAACACACACACAAACACACACACACACACACAAACACACTTACTTTACAGCATTCTATGAAAAAAATACATGTTATTATATAATAATGTTATTGACATGATAATATACAAAACCCTTAAGGGCTTTTCTAAAGTTTTACTTTATATTTCCTGTTTTTCATAAATCTGCCACATGTTACCTGTGACTTTTAACTTCCTTTGATTCATGGTACTTCTGCAAAAAGATTTCTTCCTTCCAGACTATTTTTTTGCATTAAAATGCCACTTGTATGGCAAATATCATTAAATGACATTTCATTCCCATTTCTGCCTGACATGAGTGCCATTGTTAAATACAGACTCCACCAGCCCTTCCTCCATCCTGGCTCTTTGCCGTGTGCTTTATCAGTTTTATTTTCATCCCTCTGCATGTTAAACTTGTTTCTGTGCTTGTAAATTTGAATCCTCGATCACTACCGGAGCTTCTCTGCCTGACTTTGGACAGTATTGCTCATTCATTTTTTGCTCTATTTGATTCTCCACAGTTTCTTTTCTTTTCTTTTCTTATACTTAAGAAAGGTGATAAATGTTAGTACAGTACATTATTGTTATTTAAGACTCCCCCTGCCTGTCTTTCACTATTTTTCTCTCTGACTGACACTCTTTTTACAGGAATCAAGAATGAATAAATCAATTTGAGCGATGTTAAACCATTTTGAACATGGCTCCATGCTATGATTATATTAAATAAACCATTAGAACTAGCAGTGCAGTTTAAGAATTTCACATTCAGTTTAACAGTTAAGCTCATACTCAGAGCCATGAAGGAACATTTTTTTTAGGCTTAAACCATGTACAGTTAATATACACATTGGGGTAATGCCACCGCAAATGGTTTTGCATGTTTTATTCTGTGTTTCCATAAACAATGCAGTCCAACGACAAACAAATGCCTAAAATTTAGGCATTTGTCCAAATTCAACAATCCCACAGTACCACTAGGGATAAGTGAGAAAAAAATGTGTGATATGCAAGTGATATGAACCTTTAAATAAAGTAATGAATCAAAATATTTGTTCTATCACTGTGTTTGTACTGTGTGTGTTTGCAGGCCTGCACTAACTTCAATGACAGTGGGGCATGTGTGACCCAGTGCCCCCAGCCATTTGTTTACAACCCCACCACTTTCCAACTGGAACACAATCCCAGGGCAAAGTACACCTATGGAGCCTTCTGTGTCAAGAAGTGTCCACGTAAGTCTTACCAACTGGACACACACACTTTACTACTATACTGTACTTGTGATGACCTTACACTAATAACATAAATTCCCTATATCATCCCGATAATAAATAAAATACAGCGTGTATTACGCTTTCTGACGATAACTTATGTGTGTGAGTGCGTATATGTATATTTGTGAGGATACACTTTCAATCGGATCACTCAATACACATGTTGATACCAGTTCTGAACTGGGCCATTGTTACTGGGCTGGTTCAAAAGGCTGTTTAAGGGGTAAGACTTGGTTTTAAGGTTGTGGCTAGAATTAAGATAGATGAAGTTGAAAATAAGTGCTGGGGTTAGTCATTTAGTGGCAATGATTAAGTTCAGGGTATGGTGCAAGGGAATGCATTATGTTCTCAAAAGTATAGGAATTGTGGAAGTGTGTGTGTGTCTTTTAAATCCAGCATTTCATTACTGTCACTATGAAAACACTATGAAATCATGTGTGAGTATTCAGAATTTCGTAATAGGTGTTTATCAGGCACAAATGCCAAGGTCTTGAGATCCATAGAGAGGAAAGTGATTATTTACTTTTACGAATGGATGATGAAAAGATCTATTTATCTTCATCTCAAAATGAGTTCTATTTCTACACATTAGCCACTAAGAAAACACAGGATAGACAATGAACCCTTACCTCAACCCTTCTATTAAGAATGACAAGACCACAAATCTACAGACTGGTGACAAAGTTAAGGAAAACCAATAATAAAAGGTTTTAGTAGCCAGTGCGACAAGAATAGCTTTATCAGTGTAGCGACTATAAGCAACAACAACGACTGCAGTGCAATTTTTGTGTCAAGGATGACTGTGCTTAGTAATATTCACCTGGTTAAACCTCAGTGGCAGTGGTGTAGAATGACCTAACAGACTTGTCAGTGTGGGCCATGACATGCAGGGAAGAGGTTATGGAGGAGGCTGCCTTCATTATAAATGCCAGGACCTGGCTGCTAAATACTTCCTACCTAGTAAAGCTTTTCTGTGGTTTGCCGGTAATCAGTTTGGTCCTTTTTGTTTCTAAATTGTTTCTTGCATTACATTGGATCTGAATTACAAAACCACCAAAGTCGCTACTGATGTGTGTGTTTTCACCATTTTAACATGAAGAAATACCAAAAAATCAGATGCTATGCTGTGTTCACTTGTATTGCATCCCTTTGATGGTGCTAACACTGTGTGACACTGATTTACTAAATTGGAACCAACTGCTTTTTCCCTCTATCGCAAATCTTCATTCATTCTGAAACACACATCTCACTGTTTTACTATTGGTCAAGGTCTCACCCCCAGCACTCATTTATCTTGATAAGCTGTCTACCTTGAAACAGCCTCTGTCCTGAAATTTCGGTAACTGGTATTGGCAAAGCCAGTACAGGTGATAAGGAAGCAGGGGGTTTGGTCTGCATCACCCTAATATCAAACATTTTTAGTCTTGGTATTACTCCTATGTTCTGTGACCACTACCCAGCTAACCACTAACTACTCACCATGCACAGCTAATTGTGATTGCCCCATGCTGTTCACAACATCAGTGAAAAGGCCAACCAGCAGGGAGGGAAGTGGGACTTGCGCTTAAAGGCAGTGTTACTTTTAGAAAGACATAAGATGCAGTATAATAAACCATTTAAATGAACGTAATGTCCCTTATTGCTGCTTTAAAAACAGTGTAAGTTGTGGTTGTGTGCATATTTTATGTTTGTTTCTTTTCTTTTTTGTGGTAGTTGTTCATAAGTGTAATTTTAATTTCAATATTTGGGCAGCTGCTGATTCTTTTTTTGACATCAGTCTTACTTAAATTCCTAATTCTTGTAATTATGTTGTCATGTTATTGACATATGAGCTCCTTTTCCCGTAAGCTTGTCGTCCAAATGAATACAGATATTTAGAAATGGAACAGGGTCCAATAAAAAAAGTCAATAGAGCTGTAGATACACAAGTTGGACAAAGATGTAAGAATTACTTAATTTTTTTTTTTATAAATATTTAACACCCAGCTTATAAGTAAGTGTAAATTGCATTTAATATTAAACAATGTAATAAAATTGGATTGCTAAAAACTCCAGACATGAAGGTTTTACCCTGTAATGCTGTTGATGTGCAGTCAGCAAATTATTTTTTCTTTATTATGTGATTGCCTACACTAAGTGTCACTTATTGTACTGTATGTTCCTGTCTAACAATCATCAGCCATCTGTGCTTGACATTTACAGTGAATTGTTTTTCAGATAACTTTGTGGTGGACCATAGTTCCTGTGTGAGAGCATGCCCCAGTAACAAGATGGAGGTGGAGGAAAACCGCATTAAGATGTGCATTCCTTGTACTGACATCTGCCCAAAAGGTAAACCACAAACATACATACATAAAAACATACACATTTTTATTAGTAATTAATTCATTTCACATGTATTTAAATATTATACTATCACTGGTAATATTGGGCAAGCCAAGAACGTTTAAACGTCAGTAAATCATTACCACATTCATGGAGAGGCATGTATATACCACCTCCAAACCACCAGTTCCAGTGTGGCTTGAAATCTGCTGGATTTCTTTATGGCAAACACAGAAGAGCTTAAACAGAGCTAAAATCATGTTAAAATTGATTTAAGTTTTAGGCAATAGCAGAGTGAATGATGCAAAACCTGTAGTTCTTTTTTCATACTAAAAAAGCCACTGACATGGGACATAGACTAGCAGCTGCATCACCCATGGTCACATCTGTTTTAGAGTATCAATACAAAACCATTATTGGACATTAGAGAATTCTATACTGATATTTTTAAATACTGCCCATTACATACCTTTTAAATCTCTCTTTTTTTAGATATAGTTGTTAGAAATACATTTAATCATATTAATGCATTTTGCTATCTTATATGTGTGTTCCAGCCTGTGATGGAATTGGTACAGCTAGCCTACAGTCAGCTCAGACAGTGGACTCAAGCAACATTGACAAGTTTGTCAACTGCACCAAAATCAATGGCAACCTGGTGTTCCTCATCACTGGGATCAAAGGGTGAGAGTTTATCAGAATAAAATAGTGGAACTGTGATCATGTTTGGTCATTTTATGTCTTGTCTAGTATAGCTTTTAGCAAAGAAAGTCCTTTAAAATCTTAAAATTTAATATGTTAATGCATCTGAATAACTAAAATTTAATTTGACTAAGGATTTAGATATGTTAGAATTACTGAAATATATTTAAAATACATTCATAATAATGCTTTTAGCAATACTCTTGTCTCTCTCAGCTCAATCCACACCTCAGCAGTTCAGCAATGCATTCAGCATGAATACCTTTGGGTCCGAACACACTGCAAATATTAATAGTCAGATGTATTTTTTTCACATATTTTACTTTTAATATAAAATAAGACGGCCACCCTAAAAGCCCAAATAAAAAATGTAAACATGGTGTTAATTGTTTGAATGAATATAAATTATGTTGATGCAGTGCCAGTAATGGTAAGTGCTAAGTGAGTATGCTAAAAATGCCTTTAGAACTAGTAAATGTATATGCTCATAAATTACTCTAAGGAGTGTAAAAGGAATTTGCTGTGAGGAGAGTGTGGTGTGTAGGAGTGTGACTTTAAAAGACAAATGTACAGTATATATTATGTATGTGTAGATATTCTGTATGTATGCATGCGAGCAATCATTCACAAGTATTTTATCAACTTCAGCAAGAAAAAAAAACACACAAAGATCACATTCTTTACTGATTTGATATGATATTATGCAGTATAAAATGAACTATGTAGTATAAAATGAAGATTTCTGTTTGTGGTTGTGTTGGTCTGATCTCCCATTATCATTCACAGTGATGTCTATCACAACATTGAAGCCTTGGACCCAGAAAAACTCAATGTATTCCGCACCGTTCGGGAGATCACAGGTGAGTAATATCAATTTTACAACATGGATCTATGCACATCCATATGAGTTTATAAACAAACAAAAAAATAAATAGAATTCACTGTTACCTTTATCCCTTTTATGCCATATGTAGAGTGCATATATGATGCTTGTGTGTGTATCTGTGTGTGTGTATTTGCTCAAGTGTACCTCACCCCCCTCCCCCTGAGACTGTCCACACCAAGGACAGACATTGCAGCATAAGATGAATATCAGATGAGTCTTTCAATCTCCTCTGTCTCTCTGCTGCTTCTCCCTCGGGGAGTCCCTAGCCTTGAGTCCCATAGTCCCAGCTCTCCCTTCACGCACCATGAAGAAAAGATCCAGAACATGTGGTGCGCATCGTTAATCCTCTAGCTCCCCTATGCCACCACCACGTCTGAGCCACATGTGTACTGTCATCTTCCCAGCCCAGACATTTGACAATGCCATCACCAAGAAACCTCCTCCACATCTCCAATGTGACACTCCCCTAAAAAAAATGTTACTGTTGAAACATTGTAGGTGAAATGTTTTACTTATGAAGGGGGTTTACAAAAGCAGAAGATTTATTAACCCCCCCCCCCCTTTAAAAATACACATTTATTTAGGACTGTGTTTATGTATGATGTAACAGGATTACATTTATTTTATTTTGGTAGTTAAAAGGCTCTCTGGAATACATATTGAAATAAATGTTTTTTGTTACATATTTTACTAATTCTTAAAATATAATATATTGGGTACCAGCTTAACATTGAAGTGGCTGATTCATGCCTGTATTGTTCATACTCATGCTCATGCTCAGGCTATTTGTGGCCTCACCACATCATTCTGCCTGATCTAAATGTGATTTAAAGCAAACCACTCTGTAATGAAAAGCACTTGGTTTGTTGTAGTTCAAGTGCAAACAGAGTACTCCAGGTTTGGGAGTGAGCCAGCTAATAACTTCTGTAACAACAATGACCAGATTTTATTAATGCACTTAGTACCATTATCTGATGGAATATAGCAACTGACCACAGGAGTCAATTATAGCTAATTTGTAGGCCTCTCTAAAGGTCAGCCCACAAATCACACCCACTTGGTTTGTTTTTCCAACAAGTTGCGATCCATTGCTCGACAATTAATTGATTCTTTTACCACAAGCACAACTTAAAGGACTAAGTAAAGGAATAACTGAGCGATGGAAAAGAGACAGGAAGAGAGAGAAAAATCTAATCAGATGTTACACGCAAACAAGCTAAACAAACTAACAGATCTACATCATCTTATAAGGGGTAGGAAACCATCGCATACTCCTTGATTTCCTATCAGAATGGCTGAGTGTACAGATGGAGCAAGGCAGGAGATACTGAAATGGTTTAAAACTTAAAATACAATTAGTAAGCAGTCTTAGTCATTAACTGCGTGATTAGCTGGTGTCTTAGTAAATCACACATTAATTTCAGATTGTGAGCTCAAAATGTATGAAATGCAAACAAAATGTTTCATTCTGCCTTTCAAGTAGCCAAATCTGGATTTTTGATGGATCTGAATGCAGTAAAACATCAAAATCAAAATCACTACAAAATCAAAAACTTGACATCCAAGAGCTTTCCCCCCCCCCCTTTTCAGTTAGAGATGGCAGTTTGGCCAATGGTTTGTCCCTATCACCTGCTCTCAAACACCATGTAGTCAGAGATGTGTGTCAGCCGAGCTTGTCATCTCTCCGAGCTGTCAAGAGAACGTGACTTCTAACAGAGGAAGCAAACCTGCCTCTGTGACCCCAAGGTCACAACTAGCATTGCTCTAGCTTTCAAATGAGCTGTGTAGGAGGACAGCTCTCATCCTACACACCAGCACACCCGTCTCTCTCTCCAATTCTTTTCTTTTCTTCCTTCTCCTTCTTTCTTTATATCATCCTTTTTTTTCTTTCATTAACTCGTGCTTCTCTTTTTCACCACACTCAAAGACATATCACCAGATCAGGTTCCACACAAAGAGTGGGCAACTCACACAATTTAGCTGTGGATTTCTCAGTGTTGTGACCGGGAATGTAATCACCACAACTTAAGCACTCTTAACCTTTGCTTGTGAGCTCATGGCCTTCTTCTCTAAGTGGCTCCACGCTGTAATTTGCTCTGTGCATTGGTGTGCCACTGATGTGGCTCTCAGCTGAACATGGACCACTGCTAGGTGATCTTTTAACTCACAGAGTTAAGAAGAAGGCGAAGACACCAATTACGATTAGGCTTTTTTTCCTATCACACCTATTACAAGTACTTATATAATTTCCCCTTCGATTATACCAGTGTTATTATTGTCCATAAATTATATGTACATACTATATGACATCATATGACACTTTTGTGTAAAGTGTATTCAAGGAATCGCAGAAATGTATTTATAATTATACAACACCAGGTTGTATAACAAAATGAGAGTTTGCAGTTCCTTCTACTACACACATAGAAAATAAATACAAACAACAATATAGACAGTTATTTATATACATACACATATACACCCAGAAAATCAATTTGCAATGCATCTTTTGTTAAAGTAACAAGATAGTGATGATAATATGGTTTTCATCTTCACATAAAAAGAAACACCATCAATCCACTTTGACTGCATTTCAGAATCAGCCATCATCGATATAAACACAGTCTGCCTCCTCTCGTCCTGCGCTCTGTTGGTTTCAAAATGTATATCCTGGTTATCTTTGTATATCAAGTTTTCAACTGTATTTATTTATTTTAAGGATTAGGTAGGCTGTTATTCTGTGTTTTATTTTTGTCAACAACAACAACAACCAACAATGCTGTAGTTAGTCTTTCCATACTTTCTGACTTCCCAACCCCTGTCTGCTTCATTCAGCCCCAAACCCATTCATTTGTTCTGAATATGTTCTGTAAATCCTTTCAAGGTCCAGTGTGCAACATTTAGGATGATATATTGGTGGAAATGGAATATAACATCCAGGGAATCAAGTATGTTTTCATTAGTGTATAATCATCACCTGAAAATAAGAATGATAATGAATGAACAACCAGGGCGACAGTATATCTCACTCATGTGTTTTGAGTAGGTTTTGGAGAACAATTGATATATCAGGGTACAGAAACAATAATCATTAGTAGAATCAATTCATTGTTGGTTTTTGTCTTTTCATGGGATTTGTTTATAATAAGAAAAATGTAGAATATCCCTTTTAAAAAATAACTCTGGATGCTTTATCATCAGTGCCATCCATCTTAGCCCCTAAACTCATCCAAAGCCCTACAGTAGCAGCAATTTTGACCACTTGCAGTTTTAACAACACTTTGGTTCTAATACGTTCACATTCCCACCTGTATGCATCAGAATCAGAATCAGAATCAGAAATACTTTAATAATGCATCTCATTAAGGCTAATAGTGCATGTTTTCTACGTGGTCAGTTTTTTCAGCAGTATTTAGTTGAAGAAAAATTTAAACTAAACAAATAAAAAAACCTGGAAAATTGTAAATATATACACTTAAAACTTCTCCACACGGTGAATCTGTACCTACCTTGTCCATGTACACATTACTGTAGGTACAGATTCACAAGCATATGTGTGCTGTTAGCCCAGTATTACATTAGCACAGCACGTGTGCAGCAGGCATTAGCTTGTTACCTTGATTAGGAAGCACCCCTAGCCACCGAAAGAGCACTATGGTGGAGCTTTGAGGTGCCTCAGCACTGCAGGTTTTGTCATTAAGACAATTAGTTCCGACAAGTACAATGCTAACGATTCTATAGTACTGCTGTCTTGGGGCTAAGAGGCCCTCAGTATCCTGAACTATACACCATGAAGCCAGAGACAGGGGTGCAATAAACAAAACGGACAAAACCAAAACTGCTGTTAGCTTTTATAAATAACCATTTTCCAGCAATACATTTTAGGATTCTTTATAAATATCACATAATACTCTATAACAGAATGAATTCCCATCACTATTCTATCATAATGGCAGCCATTATTATTATTATTATTAAATTTATATTGTATCTTCTCAGGAAATGAGGTAAATAAGTAAATAAAGTAATAAATAGTACTATCTAAGCATTGTTTTCCACATTGGAAAACGATAATAATATTGAATTTATTCTCTTTTTTCTGCCACCTGTTTGGCCATAACTATTGTGGTCATGCATATAAGAAGCTCTAGTGTGAGGATGTGTTTCAAATTCAGCTCATTTGCATGAGCCGTTTGCATGAACCCTGGTGTGTGATTCCTCACAATTACCTGACTTCTTTTTTTTTTTCATTTCCTCATCAAACACTCTTAATAAGCATTCGCTCAAACCCTGCTGCTGCCCAGCTGGGATTGACATAACAAACAAAACGGTGTCCAAGAACTGATAAAAGTGCTGCTGAAGGTTATTGCTCACTTGTCAACAAGCCATGAGCTCCCTTCTTTTTCACAACTCTGCTTACCTCCCCCCACCACCCCTCCCTTTTGGATACACAAAGTTATGTTTCCTTCAGGAAGAAAACACAGGGTTTAATATAATACTGTTCATTATATGCCGATCACACCCACAAGGTTCTCACCGTTTACCACCGCACCTTTCTCTCCTTCTTTTTTCAGGAAAGCAATACAACAGCAGCTTGATGCCTCTGTGTTTTCTTTCAATTGAGTAATTTGTGACATTTTGTGTTTAGTTTGTCATCATAGTTACCTGGACTCCCCTTACCTCCACCTTCGTCCTTCTCTCTGTGCATCTTTCCTTAGCCTCCTGGCCTCATCCAGCTGTGTTGTTTGTCCTGTGGTGTTGGCTTAGGGATTGTACCCCCTGCCATTCCTTACTAAATATTTTATATTTCTGAATCCATTATTGAAAATCCTAAATGAACCACAGCCATCCTTTCAGCTATTCATTTAATCGTCTAAATGATTCAACAGTAGGGAGGCAGATAAGGAAATGCAAAAATATTGATATATCAAACTTTACACTCATCTAGCTGGCACCAAACTCCTCTGTGAACTTGCTGTGCCTATAACATTTTTCTGGCTGGGAAGTGCTTGGCTGCTTTCAGATGAGACTCAGGTGGTGTGGTTACTGTGGTCCGGGAATGTTGCTAATTCCAAAGAGATGCCAACTCTCTCTACTCATTTTATTCTTGTCACTGTGTGAAATAGAGGGTGTGATAGACAGCTCTAGTCTGTCAGTACTGGTGACTCATTATAACCTGTGTGTGTGTGTCTGTGTCCCCATTTAGGATTTCTGAACATCCAGTCTTGGCCTGAAAACATGACAGACTTGAGTGTTTTCTCCAACTTGGCAACTATTGGGGGAAGATCGTTGTACAGGTACATACCAGAGAACATAATAGAGTTCAGTACTTGGAAATGAAAACCAAGCTAGTTATTATTATGAGTTTAGTTATATTTTTTAGCAAAAAAAAAATAGTTTTCTCTGACTAAAAGTCTTTGGGAAGAGAGAATTCAATGGTGATTGAATTTGTCAAAATGTATTAAACCTTCTGTCTAATCAGTGACATGATAATTACAAGTAAACACTGTTAAAGGTGGCCTGTGTAGTTTCCTTGTAACACACTATTCTTGTATTCTTAAGGTCTAACAAACATGGTGAGTGCATTTCCTTCCTCGGAAAACATTTGCAAAGCTGATTCTGATTAACTGCAATATTAATACAACTTGCACACTTATACATATCAAATTGACTTTTACATAATTGTTTAATTGTTAGCACAACTACTTAGTTTTTATTCATTTTAACACATACATGTGGTTTGGTTGGGTATGCTTCTATAGTCAAATTGGTGCATTTTTTAATTTTTATTATAAAAGAAATATGGCTAACATTAGCTTGTACCAAAGAATTGGTTGGTGCCCACAACACCTTTTGTGATGTTTTTGTTTTGACATTTAATAAGCCAATTTAGTTGTTTTAACCTAGCTGATGGAACATAATTAATTGGCATTTAATATTTAGTGATTTTCCAAAGGTGCTCTGAAAATGTGCATGACATTTGGATAGAAACTAAATGAGCGTCTGTGTAGCTGATGGCATGGTGTTTCTTTGTGTGTGTGTGTCTGAGTGTGCGCACAAGGGTGTGTGTGTGTGCACCTGTGTGTCCTCCACCTGCAGATGGAAACAGCAGGCTACAGTACAAATTACAGCCTGCCACCCACCCTTATCCAATGCTTAATCCTGCATCCTCTCTGTCTAACTGAAGGCTTTGACATCCCACTGGCCTCCTGTCATTTTTAAACTGTGCAAGTGGGGCACATGGGGAAGAGTGGGAGAAGGAGAGGGAATCAAAGAAGGAAAGGGAGGCATACTGATTAAAAAAGAATCTGTTGAAGTTATGTTGAAACAGCTTGTAGCAAAAAAAAATGAAATAAGCAGAGGCAGTGTATTACTTGAAGTTTGACAACACTAGAATATTTAAGGTTCTAGATGGAACATTTTAAATCACAATGATGTAATTATTGTTCACAAACAAGACTATTGTGGAGATAATTGGTAGAACCATTTACTTTAATTTGTTATTTGTTTTCTCCATATATTTACTTTAACATACTGAAAGTCATTTTCCACTGAGTAAACGCATTGTCCTTAATGTTCTGTTTGGATTTTGTACTGCAATCCGTCACAGTTCCATCCAAATCTGACTCTGTGGCTTGGAGTGTAAAGTGCAACAAAGAGGCTCCTAGGTCAAATGCGAGTTGTACTTTTGAACATCTATTGTGCACCTATTCTGCATTATCGTTTAAATTCTGTGGACATATTAAGTGTTAATCAAGTTTGGGTGTAGGATGCATGTCTACGGGCTTCCCTCTGACAATGGCTTGTTTCAGTTGTCAATATTGACATTTTTATTATTTAACCATGAACACAGTCGCTCCCTAACCATAACCACGTGGTTAAAGGTTTAGATAAGTTAAAGAATAATGTATTCAGGCAACATTGTATTTCCCTTAAGTGGGTTGCTTGCATATTATTATCTTTTGTAGGAGATAAATTGATTTGGAAGATAAAGCAAGTTATACAACCTTCATAAATAAGTTGCATAGTAACATGACAGAAAAAATATATGATTTTAATAAAAAACCTGATCAAAACCTGAAAAATAAATCCAAAATCTCTGCCTTTTCCTTCACTTTTTTCTCCTTTCCTCTCCCTGTTACACCTCATCCCTTCTCCTTTTGCTCTTCTCATCTTCCTTCCCCTTCCTGTCTGGCCCTCTCTTCCTCTCACCTCCACTCATTCTTCACTCTCAGTGGGATTTCCCTGCTGGTGTTAAAGCAGCAGGGCATCTCATCATTGCAACTCCAGTCCCTAAGAGAGATCAGCGCTGGGAATGTCCACATCGCAGAGAACAGCCAGCTTTGCTATTACAGCACCGTCAACTGGACAAGATTGTTCCGCACTGCAAACCAGAAGGTTCTGATCCGCAACAACCAAAGCCCACAGCAATGCTGTAAGTTCATACAAAAATCATCACAAACATTACAAACTAAAAACTCAGTTGTTTCTGTACCAAACAGAAATGGAGGTGCATGCCTTGCTTTACCGGGGTATAGGGGTCACATTCCATTGAATCCCAATGTCCCTAGTTTGATTCTGCAATGTTTTACCATTTTCTTGCCACTTTTGGAAAAGCGTTTTTTCACAAATCTGGATGTTAGTATACACATGGCGTACAAAAGCATCAATCTCAGTTTTTTTCAACTTAGAGTGGGTACGTAAGAAATACAGTATCACTCCCAATTAAAGTACAATTGGAAAAACTAACCTGTTGTCGATCTAAAAAAAGAATAGAATAGAGCCACTTAATCGTTTTAATCAGCCCAGTTTGTTTTGTATCTAGTTTTGGCTGAAATGTGTGCTGCTCACATATTTTACCACTATCCCATCTTAGTCTCTTTGAATCTTAAACCCAGTGTCCAAAACTGTTAAAAATGTAATAAAAAGTAAGACAGAAACCAAAATAGGAGCACTTAACAGTAACTTTCAAGTAGCTAACCACTATAAAATTAACAGCTGTAAAAAATCTGAATATTGAGGTTTCTATGCCTTTTATCATTGTTTCTCCTGTTATGTGATGTTGACCATGAGCTAAATGGTTGGAGACTTCATCAGCTGGCAGACTATAGAAATCTTTAAACAGCACCAACTGGCCTGAACGATTGAACAAACTTGGCTCAACTTGGCCGCGACCAGTTGTGGGTCCCAAATCATGACCATAATCATCTCTAAATGTAAAATAAAATCTAAATGTGTGTTCCCACCTTTAGCCCCACTACCTGATGGAATGTGCTGAATGGCTGAATAATTGTACTGCTCACTGTTATGAACTGTGATGTATTTTGAAGGAAAGGAATATCTACCATGTCTGTTAAGGCACTTTAATATGCAGTTAACTTCACTGTGCTCCTGCAGACAGCAGCAATGACACTGAACACGAGTAGACACAAAAACAGTAACTTGTCATCACTATTATTATCTGCCTAGCGTATGACTGGAAGCTATTATCTCAGTAATTTATAAGGACAACTAAAAACAATAATCCCATTATTAGACTAATTAACCAACAGAACCATTCAGAGAAAGCAAGGTTTGGCCAAACTAACTTAGGCAAATATCTGAAGTTGTGTCTCTAAAAATGGAAGAACTTTTTATTATATCACTGCCATAAGTGTTAAGACATTATTCATTTATGTATAATGTTCATTAATGAGCCAGTATTTGCATTATTGAGTTAGCCCCTTTTCACTGTTCATGCGCTCCTTTCCCCTGGGCAGTTCCTTAATGTTGGGCACACACACACACACACATACACACACACACCAACACCCGCGTAACGTACACTCTCGTCTCTCTTTCTCCTCTTTCTCTCTCTTTCTCTCTATCTCTAGTGCTTTGAAGATTTGGGTGAGACTCAAACGTCACACACTGCTCTCCTTGACATGGCTCTGCGTGTGTGCATCAGAGTGTGGTGTGTGGTGTGTGGTGTGTTGTGTGTGTGTGGGGGGGGGGGGGGCAGCGGTTTGTGTGTGTCTACACTTGACTGAGCCTAGCAGGGACTGGGAAAGGGGAAGTCTCGCACCCTTACAGGGCAACAAAGACAGAGGAGGAGGAGTTATGTGCCCATTATTAATTTGTAGTGTTGGTTTTTACAGTAGCACTTCCTATAAGTTGAAGTACTAACTACGTTCGCCAGCTGAAACTACAAAAATATAATCACGGTTGTGTTTTTTTTTTTTTTTTAACAAAACGAGATTGAAGACAAATGAAAAAAACAAAGCCTGTTAGGTTTTGCTTTGAATTGAGTATTACTAACTATCTCTTACAAGTTTTGACTGAACATTTTTTCCAATTAATGTTGTCAAAGTTAAAGCATCATGGGTTGTAACAATAGCTAACAAGTCCTACTGAGTCAACATCTGGTTCTAGTTTGTGTTCAAACAAGACAGTCAGGCATGTTTGCATTTTGTAGAAAAGATCTGTAGAAAGGATGGATGTGCTAATTTTGTATCAAAGGGAGTATTAACTGATAAAGACAAGATTTTAGCTACTAGAACCTAGGGCAAATATTTGACAAAAGTGAATTCCAGAGCCTATGATACGGTCCTTAAACTTACTGTTCAGTTATGGCACATTAGCAATAAAATGTCAGTCTTTTATAATGATGCTTTTAGAGTGCAGAATTTGGGATAATACATGACAGAGAAAAGTATTTTGTTTTCTTCACACACTTCTTCAAAAGGTCAAGGGATAGAAATTGCACCGTTATTAGCCTCATCAATGCACTCAGTAGAACAAACTCTATCCAGAAAGGGCTCTTTCATAACCGTAGCTTTCTCAATAATGTCTTAAAGGCCATGCACTGCACACACATGGTAAACCCACACAGGTGATTTTAATTGTTTTGGCTGCTTAGAGCGCTTCTCAAGAATGGGTGGGTGTGTACCGACTGTTCTTAATTGTCATCTCCCTGTCACTCCCATTAGCTGCATATTTTAGTGCAAGAGGAATTCCACCTTTATCATTCATATTAGTACCTTCAACCTGAGCAGAGATCTAATCAGCCAGAAGGACTGCTTTAAGTTACAATCAGTATTCTTATATACAGTCATTCTTAAATAATGTTCTTCGTAGATTGGAGCAATTGTTGCTGTTATTCGTGACTCCAGCTGATGGAACCAATGTAGTCTAGTTTCAAAATAAAAGATGTGATGACATGAACACATTTTGGTGACTCAGTGGTGGCCAGGGGCTCTTGTAATGCAGCGATTTAATTAATTGCAGTTTAAAACCAGGACTCCGTACTAGCAAAAAAATATGTTTTGCATTTTTAAGGATTTCTATGATTTCTATGACTTTTCTTCAAACTAATTACTCCTAATTCCTAACATTAAAAGTTTTGAAAAAAAAGTTAGCACACCCATTTTGTTGTCCCGTGTTGCACAGGGGCAAGGTTATTTCCCCAGCTGCCTGCCTACACACTTTAGGCTTCTCAATGGCTGCCCTGCTTTACTTTCAATGCCTCCTTTGATACAGAAGAAAGGGATGCAGCAAGCTGAAGGCAACAGTTGAGTTCAAACTACATCTCTCCCCACAACCCTTTTAATCTGTTAACCAGCATCGCATCCCAGTTCTGTGACAGGTGTTTGTTTGTTCGCTTATTTTTATTTAATTTTTGTCCTATTGTTTTTTTTTTCATTTGTTCTTTTGATGATTTAACTTCTTTTCTCTTTGTCTTTCTTTTGTTTTCTTTCTTTCTTTCTTTCTTTCTTGCCTTATTTCATGCCAGTTACAAGCCTTTATCATAATCATCATCATAGCTTATTCTCCTCCCATGGGACTCAAAAAGGCACCTGTCAGCATGAGCCCCATGGGCTTTTGTTTTCCAACCATGTCAGAAACATCTGAAGTTGGTATCTTTTTGATCTTGCAAGTGTTGTATAGTTAAAAATCCATCCAACCTCTCCTCCTCCCGTGTTTATTTCCTTTTACTCAACACCCATCATTCCTCCTTCTCCTCATCTTTCCCTCTGCCTGGTCAGTTTACCTAAAGGCACTGGATGCCCAACAGAGGTGGGTTTGTCTCCTGTGAAAGGCAATGCTTTCATCCTCTGCCCTCAAAAGAAACACTTGATTTCTGTTTTCTCCATGTATCTGCATCCTTCTGTGTGAATTTTTAAGCATTCTGAGCATGGCTATGGCTGACACTAAGGCATAGCCCCTAGCTTACATGTGGCCAGGACCTCAAAAACAGCAGTGGGTCCTTTTTATAACCATGTTCATATGGAATGGAAAAGAGAAGAGAAGAGAAGAGAAGAGAAGAGAAGAGAAGAGAAGACTGTTTTAAATCGATAGACAAGGGAAAAGCACGTCAGATGCAGATGGGGTGATAAAAGTTCCCAGTGTATCTGCAGTGCTGTCACTGTGTTACTTCAACACTCTCATTTTGTCACTATAATGCTCTCAGATGTAGCAACTTTTGTAGAAGTGAGTGCTGAAGGGGGACAAAGAGAGAGTGATAAGAGACAGGCACAAGAAGAGAATGGAACAGAGTAGATGTAATGGCCCGCGTCTGTTGGTACCATATGAGAAACAGTGAGGCAGAAACAGAGAGAACAGCATACAGATTGTTCACTATGAATGGTTTGGGAGAAGGGGGCGTTTTTCTTTGTACGACTGAATGCAATCCAAAGTAAATCTAAACGACACGTTTCACGCTTGTCTCTTTGTAAATCAAAGGTGGCTTTCATATTGGCTTTACATAATTATCCAAACAACCAACAATACTTGTTTGGACTGTTCATGTGCCGCAATTGATTTGTGTGTTGAAAGCAGACTCTAATATTTATGGATTGAAGCCAAAAGAAAATCTTTATTTTTAATATTCAATATCGACATGTTTGATCCTTTTGACACCAAAAATTATGAGAGGAGATGAAAGGGTCTGAATACAGACAATAAAGTTTCAGGCTAAAATTCTCGCCTTCTCTTCTGTAAGTCTAAATCAACAAGTCTGCATGGCATCTGCAGGTGCCTTGAAGGTCCCACCAGTGCTTCGTCACTGTTGGCTCAGCATTTTTATAATGAAGCAGCACAGCTCACTCCTTTGCTAGCTCCATGGTGAGCAATACCACACAGTACTGCACACACACACACTATGAATAAACAGAGACTACTTATATAATATATATATATACAAAACATACAGTATATACATGCAGAATGGATGGCCATCACAGTCTTTGACTTAACTAAGGTAATGAATCTAATGTTTTAAAAAGTGTAACTGTTGCTGGGATTGAATGTAATCATTTTATAAGAGGAACTAGGCTGTTTTTCAGTCCACGTTATTGTGTTCAATGAATATTGAATAGAATAGAAATAGTGTAACCCTACAGCACGTCTTTGAGACCCACACCTATTCCTCTGTAATTACTCCTTACATTGATTAGGAAAGTCGTATCTACAAAAACACACCTTTTATAGACCAACAGCTGCTCTGTGAAGGCGGAGAAATGTAATGTAGGAATGAACCTTCACAAATTGCATGTGTCTTAGTACATCTAGCCTGTTTTTTCATTAATAATACCTCTATTTTATATCTAGTTAATTTGAGCTAATTTAGGGTGTATTCTTTGCATCTGCATTGAGTCATCAAAGCACAACTAAATTCTATTCGTGTGTAATTCTGTGTTCTTTTACTGTCTTTATTTTTGTGTATGTGTGTATTGAGCAGCCAAGGAGAACATGGTATGTGACCCGCTGTGTTCGGACGCAGGGTGTTGGGGTCCTGGCCCAGACCAGTGCCTCTCCTGCAGACACTTCAGCCGTGGACGAACCTGTGTGGACACCTGCAATCTTTATGAAGGGTGAGTTATGCATGAGCGTGCACACATACACTCAGATACATCAATACAGTCACTTATGTCATCCTGACTGGTGGATTACATTGTGCTAGTTAGATAAATGGATGTACGGTCGGAGGTTAGGTAGCATTCTTGCTGCTTGACTGATTGAGGGAGATAGCAGATGGAGAATATACCTTTTTACAGCACCCATTTTGACATGAAATAGTAGGGTAAATACAGGTGTCACCAGTGATACTAATTAAGGTTCTGTTCCATTCAGTCAAACAGAGCAAGATAATAGATTTCCTTCGTGTAAGCAATGTTCTGTCTAAAAAACTACAAAATAACAGGGGAATTATAATTTCCTTCCCTGATAACATAATGTGTAGTTTCTATTTGACAAGACACCACCTCTTTCCTCTCTTTCTGATGAATGCACTTGCTGTATCAGGCTGACCAAAAGCATGGCTAATTTAAAGCAAAATAGAAACTGAAGAAAAAGATCAACTTCTCTTTTGAGGGTAACAAAACTGAAGACACCACTTTCTTCTTTCAGCCAAGTAAATCGCCACAAAAGAAAACCTGCAGGGCATCAACACACACACACACACACACTCCCTGCCTCGTCCCTGTCACCCCAAATACCCCATGTTCTTTGGGCACGAATGTAATTCATTTCAAAATGTCAATTCAGAAGGTCCTAATCAAGGAAACCACTGATCTTGCTCCTACTTATCATTCTTTTCGTGCTGCTTTCATTAATTGTGTGGAGCAAGATTCATGCAGCGGACAAAATCAGCCCACATTCATTCTTGTTCCGTTGTCACAAATTAGGCAGCATCAACATGGAAGAACTCCAACACTCAATATAACAACAAATGGTCATGGATAAATAACACACAAAATGTGTTTTAACTGAAGCTTTAGTGCCAAACATTACCTTCAGATTATTTTGTTCAACCTATTGTCCTATTGGTAAGGGTATACAGGCCCTCAAAACAAAATGCTTCATATTTGGATGGGTTCTCAGAGCTGTTATCACTCAGGCATTCACTTTAACTACAATAAGGTTAGTGTACAGGTGACTCCAGCTCTTCGTATGACAACAAACAATTCTGCAATTGTCCCCTGATTTAGAGAAATTTTATTTGAAAGAACATCATGTTCCCTCCCTATCCCTCGGCAGCACAATGTATGATCAATCACTGACCTTGGAGATTAACAGTTGCAGCAATAGAAAGTGTCTGGCAAGTGTCTATGGAAACCAGCAAGTGTCTTTTCAAGTGGTGGACATGGTTGGATCTAACTGCATATACCTCATCTCATCCAACAGTAACAGTTAAAGAAAATCTAAAGAGGAAATCAAATGAACTCTAGCTGCATGAACAGAGTTGGACATGCACTCTCCAACTACAGGAAACCCAACTGTCAGTCGAGAAAACGTTTGGTTTTGGTGTCTTTTGATCATATTCAGCACACTGAGGCTACGTTCACACTGCAGGCACAAGTGGCTTAAATTTTCTTTCATAACAGTGTGAACAGCACAAATCACATGGAATCTGATCTTTTTAATTCTGATTTGAGCCACTTTCAATAATAATAACACTCTAGACTGCAGATGAATGATCCAATCCAAGTATGATCTGATCTTGTCTTGATATTTACCGTTTATTTTGTTTTGTTGTTTTTGTTGGGTCTCTGTATGTTTAGTTTGTTTTCATCATATTTGGCTTAATTGTACGCTGTTATCTTTGTCAATTAATTTTTTCGCATTTTTTTGGCCCCCCTGAAAACAAGATGGTTCTTCTCAAAGGAAATTTCTAATACATGTGGTCCAAATCAGATACAGGTCAGATTTTTTGCAATGTGACCTCAACAGTCATATTAGAATTCATCACTATCGACATTCGTCATGGGGGTCACTTTAGGACCGTAGCCTGTTCACCCTGGAATTGGATATTTTAAAAAAAATGTGAACTGCGAAAGAAAAAAAATCTGCTCTGGGCAGCTAAGAGCTGACAGGTAATGCTTGCAGTGTTAGCGTAGCCTAAGGCAGGTGGACCTGTGAATGAACTGCTCCTGGTGCATTGTCTGCAGAGGTACCAGTTTAAATCTGGCCAAAATCCCTATAAAATTACATCATGGTGCACATCACTTTACAAATATTGTTTTAGCTTCTCTTTTATTACCAAAAAAGTGCTGAACACTTTCACACACATCAATGAAATGATAGTATACTTTATTAAGTGGCTCTTTTAAACCTAAAAAGAGTGCTTTACAATGTTACCTTGTATATTGTACATTTAAATTCAAAACTGTGACAGTTCCACAGTACAGGGGTCCTGATGGAGAATGCTTGCTCCTTATTGGTCTTAGGTCTCCAATGACAAACAGGCAGAAAACCTGAAGCCTTGGATTTTGGTTTGTAATGTAATCAAAATATCACCATCGTCATACATCGTACAACAACTTGCATGTTACCAGTGCAGGGAAGATCAGACAGATTCCTTTATTAGGTACTTGACAGAAGCCCTGCTGGAGCGTTCTGGATAGGTTTCAGAAGCATGAAGAAGCAGTAGAATGGGATCAAATCAAGGACAAATACATGAACATGTATCGACTCATCCTATTCAGCTATGAATGGGAGTGATACAATTTTCAAGTGATCCTGTATTGCTGGAAGACCTGCTGCACAACCTGCTCATCAAAACTTAAACACCCCAAGGCTCTTTGTTACAGCTTTTAAGCTCAGCAGTAATTTTCTGTTTACTATGGATAATATTTAAGAGCCCGGGGCTGAAAAGAACAATTTAAGACGTAGTGGTGACTCGGTTTAAAAGGCACCCCTGCAGAGTTTCTGAACAACAGGGGTACTTTGACTTTAAAACGAAGTATAGCTTGATGTGATCCACCTCACAATGGAAGGTGACAACAAGACCCGCACCCCTGGTGAGTTTTTACTGATAACGTTTTAGAATTTTTGACTTGCTTTTTAGTTCAGAGTCTCAACTTGATCAAAAAATCCATGAGAGATATGAGGAGGACCAGAGGGTGCTGTTAGGGCAGGGGGGCTAGGCGTGTCACTGCGTGTCACAGTCACTGCTTGCGCACGGGGCCACGCCCTGCCTACCTGTCCACCTGCACGTCAGCACCACCCACACCTTCAGTATTACCAGAACAACCAGCACACCGTCTACCAGATACAGAACTTCACTGAATGCACTCCCAACCCTTTACCCTCTGAGCCTTGCCACATTGTGTGTTTCATGAGTCACGCTTTATATATCTCATATTTCATTATTGTCTGTGCCTTTATATGGTGTCTGCTTAGTATTTATCAAATAATCAAATCTTCATGTTACCCTGAAGTTGACATTTGATCTAGCACTCCGGTGTGGAGTAGTTTAGAAGTGGAAGTACAGCAAATCTACCTTGACAAGGATCACTCGACAGTGTGCAAGACTTATCTAATATCAGTTGTGCATGACAAAAACTTGGACTTTAATATACACTGCTTGCTAAACTACAAGTATTGAACCAGAAAAAAAATATATTTTTATCTAAAAAACAATGGTGATTTTCAGTTTATGTGGATTTAGCCTCAGTAGTTCATGAAAAACATATTGAAAATTTCTCTACAAAACATGTGTCAGACAGCAGCAAAATTTAGCCTGAATTACCTTACATCCCCATGGATTTGTCAATGGTTGTTTAAAACACTTTGGACGTTATTGTTCAACATGCAGGTTTATTTGTTTGTGTGAACGCACAGGTTTGGAGGTGGGATTATGTCTAAAAGCCATTTGAAATGAATGTTCACTTTGCATCAAATCCATATAAAGGTTTATTATGCACTGCAAATGTGTTGCTGTATCTTTGTCCCAATACAGACAGAAAAGCTGGAAACAGCAGAACATCATGCAATAGCCTATAAGTCTTAAGCTTCAGTGATATCTTCCAGCTACACTGCAGCCTTTATTATTTCAACCAACACACACCCAGACAAAGCCTTACCTCCCCTGCCTCCTGGAAGGTTTTATGAAGGCCAGATGAAGCATAATTAATACTAATTTGATTTAGATCCCACCGGACCAACGACATTTTTTTTCTTCTATTGCTGAGATTGAACATTCTGTTTTTCCTCACAGACCAAAAGAGAAGTAGCCAAAAGTCATTCTCCTTGTCCCGTAGTGACAAAGGCAAAGTGCCAACTCAGCCACACTGTGGTCAAATTTAATGACTTTTCGAGGCCACTCCGGTGTTCTGCTATTATAAGGGGATTGCAGAAATTGAATAACAAGGCACTTAATTTAATTGATTTTTGAAAACGTTGCAACCCTCGTAGGTACTGCACCTTTCAACTGCGCCGACCTCTTGCGTGATGGTATCAGTATTATTATGCTTGTGGGTGTAACAGGATATGTGTGAGTGTGTGTGTGTGTGTGTGTGTGTGTGTGTGTGTATCTGTGTCTGTGTTTGAGACTGCCTGTTGATGCTATGACTACATCTTCTGACCATTATTTCCAAAGTAAGCATTGTAAGAAACAATGCTCACACTAGCAAATTGAAACAGACAAATCAATCCACTATTAATAATTCTCTCACAATCCTTCCATCTGTCTTCATTGTTCTGGAAATCCTGAACTCTGAATTGTGTTCAGCAAAAAGAAGGCTCTTAAAAAAATGTTCTGGAAAATTAAAAGTGATATTGACATTGAGATTAGTATTAAGCAAGAATTCAACAGATAATTGCCATTTGATTTGTCTTTCTTTGTCCAAAAGGCGATTCCACTGAATTTGCAGACTTATATATAAGGACAATGTACTTTGACTGATTTTAAAGTCCATGATAGAAAACATGAAGCCACAATGTGATGATGTAGTAATTGTTGTTTGAGACATTATGGTATGCTAAGTTGAGAGGTTTTTTTTTATGTCAGTGCTGCATTAGATTCTGTTTCTGGTCAGTCACCTGACACATTCAGAGAACTGGAAGTTTTCAACAAGAAAAAATCATGTTGCCCTCAAAAGACAGATCCTACTGACTGGGTTACCTGCAGACCCCAGAGGTATACTTTGTCATATCTCACAGGTGCTTTATTCTATCATTTAAAAATGTTCTGGCTTTGTCAATCAATTAGGTATATGGCTTCATATAATTATTTTCTGTGTCTGTTTTAATTAGTGCTTTTTTAAAAAATAAAAAATAAATACAAATGTATTATGGTCCTGGGTAATCCCTAGTCAAAATCACCTAATCCTGCCTCTGCAGTTTTAATAGATGTTGAGTTTCTTTTCTTTCTTTTTTTTTGAGTGCTTTTTTAAAGGTACACACACTATCAGGGGGGTAGGGGCACTCTGTCAGTAATTTGGAAGCAGACAGACACAGATGAAGCAGACAGATTTCCTCATGTGCTCTGTTTTTTTATTTCTTTTTTTCTCCTAAAATAATAATACTTTTGTTTAGTTTTTTTTTCAGAAGACATAAGAGAAGAAATAAATGATAATTTTGCAGCTGGTTGTTTCTCACAGTAATGGTGACGGTTAAGAAGTATTTGACATCTGACATCTTGTGTTTTGGGAAACAGTGAAAATTGTATAATTACTATTATCATGAAACACTTCAGACATACGTTATGTAAATGATTTATTTTGGTATTTTGGTGGCATCTGATATGGCATCAAGGTGTTATTTATTATTTGAGGGTTCTTAGATTTTAAACTTCTTTTAAATCAGCTTAAGCTACCAACTAAACCTGACACCAAAAATGAAAACGAAACATTTCAGAAACACTTTGGTTTTACGAGCCACATCCTTTTGATTCAAAAGACATGTCTAGACTTAGCAAATGTGTTGAATAATAGGTTCAATAGAGGTGATTGAAAACTTGTTGCTGCCTTTTAACTCCCTTCATGTTTAAGTTAACCAATTAGCCAAATCATATTAAAGGGCTATCACAGGATGAATGTAGATTTAAACAACTGTGTGTCTGTCCAAAGTAAACTTGTGTGCAAGTTTAACAACCATAGTGGCTGAGAAAACAAAGCCATGTTACTATTTTATATCACAAATAATATTTTGCTCCGCCTCTTCTCTCTCTCTCACCCTTCTGTCCCTTTCTATCCCATTCCATCTTAATCCTTCCCTCCATCCCTTTCCTCCTTCTCTCTCAGGGATATTCGAGAGTATGCCAACGGGTCGGTGTGTGTGGAGTGTGATGGCCAGTGTGAGCAAGCGGACGATGGCTCTTTGACCTGCCACGGTCCGGTAAGCTAGCTCCTATAGACAACAGTAGTGAGGCAGACTGAGACATTCATTTTGCTCACATATGTCTTCTACTGCTCATACTCGTCATTAAAAGATTCAATCCTAATGCATAAGTGAGGGGGTGCTATTTTAATGGCCAGTGTATGAGCATGTAAGACATACTTGAACAGTTGTGAAGCTTTAACACCACTGGGAAACAAAAAAATACAAGACAAAAAGATCAGATAAAGTAAACATACCACCCATAAAATTGCACTTAAAGTATAGTGCTGATGATATCCTGTATTTATCACAACATATCCCATTAAAAGACTAAAACCAACAATGAAAGATTATTCCGCTATTAGTTGATGTTTTTCGTGCTGGGCACAACAAAGAAAGGTATTCAAGGCCAGGGCATTGCTTCACTCAACACAAACCAAATGACTTGGAGCTGCAGACGTTCCCTGTGGTTATGTTAGACTATGATTAATTATTGTATTAGCAGTCGAAGTGTGCCTTTTAGCTGTTCTATTGATTATGTCTCATGTCCTAACTCATAAAACTGATTGTTCTAGCTGAGCTCAGCATTGTTTTGTGAGCATTTGTATTCAGTACATGTATGTTTGTGTGTATAGGATTCTTTATATCATGTTAACCATCAAAAATATATGTATAAACAGACTGCGACTCTTTTTTCCTCCTTTTCACCTAAAGTAATGGCTATATTTAATTTTTTTTCTAAAAAGGTATTTGTACTTTTAACAAATTTTTTGCATTGCACACGTTCTTAGAGAAGTATTGAGGCTTTTTGAAAGATTTTTTTAGTCGCTGCTGTACATTAGAAAATGCCAGAGTAAAAGAAATCAGTGACCTTCATTTCCATCTGCCTCTTCTGCACCCTACACCCACAGTCACATGAGACCCCTGACCCTGCGCTTTCTCTTAAAATCTTATCTTGCTGTTTGATAGAAGGGGATGATTTGCGACAGATGCAAGCCAGAGGGACCATGTGCTGTCTTTTGTGTCCCATCATACCCTGTCAGATAGTTTGCCCAATATAGTTTAGGAGGGTGGAACTTGTTGAAACGCTGGAGTGTGTGTGTAAGCATAGGAAATGAAGGCCAAAGTTAGCACATCTATGGTTATTGGTAATGTTGTTGTTGTAGGAAATGCATTGGTTTGATTATCTTGGCAGTCCACTTGATACCACAGCCCTGCACTTGGTTTTCTTAGATAAGTAATGTGAAGATGAGTGCTATGAAGAGAATAACACAATATAGCTGTAGCGGTTTTATTTAAAAAAAAAAGAGAGAAGTGAAAAATCTGAAAGAAGCAGGCACTTGGCACATGACAGATTAGTAATCTGTAATGACTTTCATTAGCTGTGTAAATATTTATGTCTCAGCTAGTTCATTAGATGTATTATTGGTACATATAGAGAATTCTTTATTACTTGAAAAGTATTGAGATTTATATAGAAAGTTATATTCATACGTATGACTTTATATATGACTTTTCAGCAAACGTGTCACTACCTTTTTTCTGTAATTTCCATACACTGAACATTTTCGAGCCTGTGAGTGTGTGTGTGTGTGTTACTTGTCAAGCTGTTATAGTGGAAATGTTCCAGGGTAACCTGTTGGACCTCAAGTAGATGTCACATGTGCAGCACAGGCAAACAAATGGATTACAGCAATCATGTTACAGCCACAGAGCCCATAGCAATTACATTATAGCTTTCACACAGTGATTTGATAGGCCCAGTGCCCTCTGCGGAGAGAGATTGCAGATATGACAGTAGCCATGAATACAGGCTATATTATGGACAGTATACAGTAGGTGATAATAAAAGAACTAGAGTTGCTGTTGTTGATCAGTGATACAAACACACTTGGTTTATCTCTAGTAAGCACATCTATTACTGTCTATTACTGAAAGATTGGAGCAAGCTTACAACTCACAACAAGCATTTCAGCTCAGCTCAGCTCAGCTCAACTGAATTATCCTATATAATACCTTAATTTTCTGCAACAGACAACATTTGGGTATAACACGTCACATACAAAATGTGATTTTTTTGTGATATATATCACTAACTTTATCATTTTAAGTTACAAACATGGCAGCCTGTGTTATTTTAACTGGACGTATATATGTTGAATTATAGATATTATTTGTTTTGAAGGCAGTCCATAAATGAATACAAAATCCTACCCCTGGTTAAAGGTTCCAAATCTATTTCCTCATCCTGTATTAGCATGCTTTACTTTACACGCTTTCTTATAAATTGAAAGTTTTTTTTAATGAATTTTCAATATCTTCTTGAGAAGGATAATTTTCACAACTAAAAGTTTTGATAATCTAAAAATCTATCTTTCAATATTTTCTTTGTTACTTTTTTCTGTCTTCTCAAATATTTTCCCTTTATGTTTGAAACTGAACTTGAAATTACAAGATTGTTGCATTGTAAATTGTATAGAACTATCCACTTGTTTCATGTATGGGATTGACACATAACTCTGAGGAACAAACAGTTCACTTTCATAGTACAACATATGATATCTAAATAAATTACAGTTGACTCTGCTGGAGTGGCTATATATTCTGTATGACACTGAATTAAATTGGATAGTCATATTCATGGGAGCTACCACATCCATCTCTTTACCATTTGTCCCACTGTTTCTTTCTTACCTCCTCGCCCCTCATCATTAATGCTTCAAATTATTTTGTGGTGTGATCGTTTTCTAAGACTTCCAGTGTGGTAGTATATTTAAGGACTCTAGCAGATATATAGCAGACCATAATGACTTGGTCTATACATTATATCATAGTAAAATAAATTGTAAATCCTTCCTGATGTACCTGATTAAGCTTTTTATTTGGCTGCCTCTTAAAAGTCTTGACTATAAGCTTTGACACTGTAAAGATTAATTCCCAATCTTCCTGAGATACTTGTGTGGTTTTGTGCATAAAACGAGAGATATAACTATTCATCGACACACACACTCCAACAACATTACACACAAACTTAAGTGTTAAGCGAGCACGCAAGTGCACGAGCAGACCAATTTAAATTTACAGCAGGGTACTTTGGTCGCGACACTGTGCATCCCTGTCATTTTTTGGATGTCCCAATACCCTGCTGGACCAAACACTGTTTGTTTGCTTTGTCACATAATTTTTGCTCACTGATGTGATGGGATTATTGGATACGCTCATACAAAAACACACACACACACACACGCACGCACCAATAGCCAAAGGTGGGAAAACACTCAAAGTGCCAGGCTTTGAATGTTAAAGCCAGTGAGAGCAGCGAGACTTTCAGTTTGCATAATTATACCAGGGCGAATGTATGTTCACACACACACGGAAGCTACAAAGAACACATGCAGAGGCATTAGTGTATGTGCACTCATACACACAGACATGCATGCATGCAAGACCATGCACAGACTCTACTCCAGGTTATGCCTTAACAAGCACGCACGCATCCACTCGCCAAAGAATAGTTATATGCCTTTGATATCATCTTTTTACCTTGGTGGCCCCTTGTTTATTGAGAACAGTGCGTGTGTATACTATACTATATATGTTAATGTGTTCATTATTGTGGGTGTTTGGACATCCATGTAAGTCTACATGTGACTTAAAAGCATGGTTTTTGATTTGATTTCCACTCCACACTGTGTTTATATGTGTGTTTTTTGTCAAGGAGGTGTTCTTTAGGCTTGTGTTGTTTGTCAATGAGATGTTCTTTAGGCCTGTTGACGATATGAGCCCTGTCTGGGAGAGCTCTTCGCCTCTCTTCCTCTCCTCCCCTACCTCCTCCCTTGCCTATATTAGCTCCATAAATCCTGTTCTAGGCGGATTGTTATGGTCATTGTGTGTGCTGTGAGCGATGGTTATTATCTGCCTGCTCCGCTCACACTGCTTTATGCGTCTCGTCTGCTCTCTCACTCCCTCCGTCCCTCTTTCTCTCTCTTATGCACACTATATCTTGCTTGCTCTCTCTGCCTCTGCCCTTTGCTGTGTTATTCTGCATCCATGTCCACTCTCTCTCGCTCTCTCCCTTACTTTCCCTTATTACTCTACATTACTTCCTTTTTTTAATCTCTCCTTTCCTCTTTTGCTCCCAGATACCTCTCTTTCGCTCTCAAGCTTTCATTGCTACACAGATGCAAGCAAAACAATTTAATCCATAAAGCTGCTAAGAAACCTGCACTTGGCAAGTTATTGATGTAGAAATATACCCATCAATCAGTCTACATTACAAACTGAGGCTACAGCTGATATCTCATCCCCTAAATTTGTGACACCACAGATTTGTCCTTTATGCCTGACTTCATGATGTCAGGTATGCCTGTAGAACATCCTCTCTAAACACAGGAAGTTTGGAATCAAAACTTGGGAGTTAAAACTGTCACGTAAGCATCTGTGAGAGAAAGCTGAACTCACCAATGATAACTGATGATGTAACAAAAAGACATGTTTTATTTCTCCAAACCCACCAGTGATGATACAGTTTGCAGGGAATTCTAAGTGTTATCACGATACTTCACACTAACTGCAAAGCTACCTAAAAACTATTCTACTGTAATCTTCCTTCATCATTAATGCTGGAATTGCTCTGTAATATGATGTTCAAACTTATATAGAACAGGCTTAATCAGAAATGACTCATGCCACTAGTTTCTGATGGTTATACATAAGACTACTATATACATTTTATTCTACCACTGTATATTTTCAAAATGAAAATGTGTATCTGAAGAAACAATGTGTTTTGTTGTTTTTTTTTCACTTCCTTTAGGGCCCTGAACATTGTGTGAAATGCGTCCATTTCAAAGATGGTCCTAATTGTGTAGAAAAGTGTCCCGATGGCCTGCAAGGTGCCAATAGCTTCATCTTCAAGTACGCAGAGGCCAACAATGAATGCCATCCCTGCCATGCCAACTGCACCCAGGGGTAAGTACAGTCAGGACTAGACAGAGGTGTGAAGTTAGACAAAGTACGACATTTCTGTCATTCCTTCAGTTCCTTCAATCTATGAAATAGGAATGAAACTAAACAGTAATCATCATTTATCTGATAAGATCTAAATACATGGGACGCTTTCTACCAATTGTCATGTTAGATTAGAGAGGTGAGTAATCATTGGGTGACACAGTGGGACAGAAGTTGACAGTACAAATATGTCTGTTGAAGTGTGTAAACTTATTGCGCTTGCTTGTTTGGCTATTGTGAGTTGACTTTCCGGAGTGACTTGATACTTACAGAAAATTCATACTAAATCTTCTCATTCTTTCATTGTAATTGCATTTGGCTTTTCATAGAATAGTGGCTTAAAAGTGTACAACTATTCCCTGTCACTATGTCCTTCTAACATAAAATTATAGTCCAACATCTTGCAAGAAAAGAGAGATAAATTGAGAGGTGAAGCAGAAAATGAGAAAGAAGAGAGGAAGAATGAAAGTGAGAGGAGTCGGTGAAGTACCTTGCCACTCTCCATTGCTCACTAGCCACTGATCGCTCAATGTAATATTCAACAAGGGATGGAAAGACATCATTTTGTATTTAACTCCACAGGGAGTTTATGTCACTTCCTTGTGTGTTATTTCTCCTCTCCTGAGTGACAGCCTCCAGCTCGCTCGAGCATAACAATGTAGTTGTAAATGGAAAACACCAGGCTGACACTTTGTCACAGGTATAGCTTCATAAGCAGATACGCCTCTCAAAAAACAAGCTGTGGGAGGGAGAGAGAGGAAAGGGAGAGAGATAGACATTGAGGGGAAAGAGACAGAGACAGGGATACTTTTAAACATTCAGAAGAGTTATCGAATTTTGGATCTATTCAGTCTGTCAGACATTGAATTGAAAGAGATGGTGCAAGGGAGACAGAAAGAAAGATAATAGTGAAATCTCAGTGCTTTGCACTACTTCAAGTGTATGAGGTATGAAAAAAGTTGAGGAGAATTTGTGAAATAGCATTTCTCATACCTACACACAGACAGTGTATGTTTTTATAGACATCAACATCAATAAGGGGTGTTATGGATAGATAAGAGTAATCCATAGATTTTGGATTATGTTAGCTTGAAGAGTCTGGGATATGACAAGCACATTAAAGTCCATACATGAATCAAACAACTTACTTTGACAAATCAATAAATTGACACAAAGTACTGCAGTTCCATTCGGGTGGACTGTACTCTGATTAACCATTTACTAAAAGCACCTCACAGTAACATGAATGCAGTTGCTTTAATGGACAGATTACCTTTTTATATCACAGAATATATAGAACCTTCACTACATGAAATCAAACCTGCCCAATCAAAACACATCCTGTGCATCGGTACTGAAAAAGAAAAACATTCCAATACATTCCAAATTATGTTTACCTACGTTTTTGTAAACTTAAAAATGGCTAATTTATAGCCGTAATATGTGTAATTTAACAAATGTTAATTAATAGTACATAAAAAATGGTAGATAAATGTTAATCCTATTATATAATATTATATCACTGTTTGAAGGCTGCCACAGATGTGTGCTATAATACAATATTCCTGCTTAAAAAAAATAGTAAGCATGAGTGACCTCACAGAGTCTTGCATTATACGCATTGCATTATCCAATGAGCAAAGTAATAAAAGTGCTACTGAGGGCAAAAAGTAAAAATGTAAAGTCCTTATAGGTTAAAATTGTGTTTGATTAACAACATAGAGGACGGTTTTAGTCTCCTTCATTTGATATGAAAAGCCGGGATGTGTAGCCTATAGTATATGTGTGGGTGTAGTGTAGAGAAGAACCACCCACTTACACACTCATTTCCTATCCTAATTTTATGTAAATAGAATGACCAAAGCATAAGGTAGGTCATTAGATTTTGGGCCAACACAGAACCTTGGTGTAAGAGGGGTTTTACTCTAAATATAAACTGTGTCTCATCATTCTCAGGTATATGGCAAACTATGAATGTGGTTGGTTTAACTTTTTTCCTTCTCTTGTATTTGTTTACTTAGGTGCATTGGACCAAGACTGCAGGACTGCATTGGCTGGATGGACAGGTACAAAATTATGTTCTGTGGATTGCCTCCATACTCTAGCATACAAACACACACATACTATGTGAACACACGCACGTACACACACACACACACACACACACACACAGAGTAAGCAAACTCTCTGATTAATGGCTAGCTCTAAGGCCCAAAATCCCTGTGAGTGTCCTTAATGCCTCTCTGTGCATGCATGCTTGTGTGTGTGTATGTGTTATGTGCACAAGCAATTTGCCTGGCTTTTGATAAATTGATAGCGCTTTAGCTTTCATTCTGAGGCTTGGGGGGTGGGGGGCGGGACAAAATGCCGCTAACAGTTTACAGCAAATGGATTTCATACGAGTAATGGTTTGGTATAAAGTGGTGCTGGAAATTGTTGTGTGGTGTTTGGGGGATGTTCTAAAAAAAAGAAAAGAAAACAAGGCTCATAGGCAGAATGAGCAACCAACACAACAGAACTTAGTGGTGGATCTGGAGATCTGCAGGAACAATGCAGTCAAAAAAGAACAGAGCTAGACAAGACAGGACAGGATAGTGAAATGGTGTCACTTTAAACTCATCAAACTGAAATAATGGAAACACATTAAGACTAGCTGGCAGCGTAGCAGGAGGCTGCTATGGTGGCTGTTCAAAAGGAAGACCCATACAGTTAGATACATTGACAAACAGATAAACATTTAGTAATTATTTACTGATCAGTATTCAGTGTCCTGAAGCTTTTACTGAGGCCAAAAAAAAGGTGAAAAAGATGAGTCCCTTTAGAGAACTGCTCAAAATCTAAACCTTTTCTCCAGAAACAGTCTTTGGGTTTCTGCCCACAACATGAAGGGGAAGTGCAGCCGATGGGGAAACATAGCTATCAGCTAACCTGGTGCACAGATCAGCCCTTATCAGATATCTGATACAGTAGCTGTGGCTAGGATACAGCTAACCCCAGGCTTAGCTGCCTGCTCCGAAGAGTCACAAATCTTGTAAATCTGTTACCTGTTGCAGGTATTGGCTTTTGAGAACGGCTGGAAGTAGCTTATCAGGAATACATGATTACACTAAGCCTTTAAAGGCCATCGTTCCACCTGGCATTAATATACATCTTGTGCAGGGATTGTGTGCATATCAGATTAAGCTGGATTAATCACTTTCTGTCACTTATGTAATATTTAGTCTGATGAAACTGACAAGTAATACCTCATTTAACATGTTCCCATTTGGCAGTATCTTTCCCATTTAATTCAAAATTATCAGAGCTGTCTGTACTCTCTGTGTTCCCTGGATTTTACATGCATTTTTAGATTCTGATCCTTGTAATGGTGAGGAAAATTTGCATTTGATGTGGTCAAATGCATCCCTGACCGAGTACAAAGGTGGCTTGCTGGGTGATCTTTAGAACTGTATGTCCTCAGTTTATTTATAGTATAGCTGGGTTCTATCTGATCACTCAGGGCATCTGTTAATGTCACTTGGAAAGAGCATGTACGTGAAGCGTGCAGATTGAATTAGTCATCTACAGTACCTTGGGTCTCTGTGCTAAAATGACATTTGGTCATGCATAGAATCTTGGATGGCCTTTCTTTCTGACTGATATATGGATGATATATGCTATTTGTAGCTTTTTTCTTCTCATCTAACTCTCAGTAAGAAAGTTAAAAAGTGTATTTCGAACTATTCTTTTCCAACAAGTGTGACAATGACATTTATCGAGCAAAACATTTTGCAGTTGTACAAATGACGTTTCAGTCCTCTCTGCCGGACAGTCTATGTAATAGTGACACGGGATCTAAATTATTTCAAACAAATATTAAGAATTTTACTGTTCCTATTAATTATCAGTGCCAACATATCTTTAGTAAGCTATTGGCCAATATACCACCTTATTCCACCTGGCAGATTTGATGTTCAGGCTCTAGTTTTTACCATTCCCCAAAATAGTGATTTTCTCCCTGTGCAAGCTATAGAGAGAGATGTGGGGGAGATACAGAGTTCTTCACTTCCCATGAAGCCGGCTGACTGTGATAACATTTTATGGGTTGTATCCTTGCAGACTGTGATATACACTCATGAATAACTGCCCTTTTCCACTGATTTAAGGCAGAGTCTCAGTATGCCTTGACCAAATTAAGTTCTTCCATTACTGCAAAAAAAAAGGGGGGTGGGGGTATACTGGAAAACTTTTCTCGCTCATTTCTGCATCAACTCTGTAGACAGTTTGGGGAGTATATCAGGAAAATTATTGAGAGGCTTGATTTCAAATGACAGCATCGGTGTGGTGCTGAAAATTCACTTTGATGGTTATTTCCATGTTTTTGATCTCAGCCTCGATTTTAATGAGAGGGCATGAAGGGATATTTGTTACCAGAGGAAACTTAGTGGAAATACTGAAAAAAAAAACTGAAGGTGAAAGGGTTTTTTACAGATCTTTGACATATTTGTGTGTGTTTGTTTATTTACATGCTTATTTTGTGTCCACATAGCTGTATAAACATTCAGCCTTTTTGTCCCCATCATTTCCTTCTCTTACTCAACCCATTCAACCTGTCCACCCCACCCCCTCCCCCTGCTGCCATCATTGGCATATGGTTTCTCAATGCGTGCTTCCTCTTCTCTCTTCATCATCTACTTATTTTGCTCCTTCTTCTCCCCCTCCACTTTCTTGTCTTCAGAACCCCTCTGATCGCAGCGGGGGTGATCGGCGGCCTCTTCATGGTGGTGATCATGGTGCTGAGCGTAGCAGTGTCTGTGCGCCGGAAGAACATTAAGAAGAAGAGAGCCCTCCGTCGCTTCCTGGAGACAGAGGTGAGCAGGGCAGTAGATGAAAAACATTTCGGAGAAGGGAGAAATTGCTGCCTGTAGCACTGGAAGATAATGTTGTCAGAAGACTGTGCATGACTGAGAATCAGAGGACATTGGTGACATTTGCATTGCTCTTGGCTTTTTTTCTTGAGTAAGTTCAACTTTAACCTAATGCAGAATTTAATGTAGGAGGTAAAAATGTAAAGGAAATTGTTGAGTGAAAAAGAAAAAAAATACAAGATCAAAACATAGGAAATGCCTGAGGACTTTGTCTAGATTAGTTTGATTCATTGTTGTGTGCATGTGTGAGTGCTTGCAAGTCTGTATGTGTATGTAGTGTAGCAGTGTATGGCTGTGCACTCAAAGCACATACTGTACAGACTAAGAGAAAGAGAGGGAAAGGAGAATGAGGCTTCATGTCTCCAGATGGTGACTGCGGAGGTGGAGAAAGTGTCAGAAACAGAGGCTCAGGTGTTGACTTTACCATAGTATACTGGAGAGGACACTTCTGTTAGGAAGAGGTGAGGGACATTGTCATTAGAAGAGGAGAAAGCACTCTTCCTTTGTGTTAAAACAAGAAGAGTATATCATCTAATGCACTCCTATAGTAAGAATCAGGTCTTGTTTCACTGCTTTCTCTCTCTTCAGATCACACAAGTATCAGTGAAGTATCATTTCTGAAGAGCTTCTATAATGACAAAATAGCACTGATATGGTTTATTATTATACTATTATACTATAAACTACAGTATATGTGGCCGACACTCATACTGTAACTGTTGATTACTTATAAATGTCTTGCTTTCATACACAAATTCACACACGCAATCCTGGCCACAGTTTATTACTTATAATTATTAGAGGTATGCTTGTATTACGTTATATAGCTAATAAAGAATACTTTCAAAACTACTCTGCACCAGGAAGACACCTACGGTCATTCTGATGAAATAATAATATATGTCAATAGTAAATGTTGTCATAAATGTTATATGTAAAGTGCAGTTTTATTCCAAATGAAGTATTAAATACATATAAAAAAAGACTTTTTCACAGAGCAATCTGAGGAGCTGAGTGAAAATTGACAGCCCTCTATTACTGAAGTGATATCTCACTTGTACGTACACGCAATACTGCTGTTGTATATACAGGATTTTACGTTTCACTATACATTATGATTAATTTATGAAATTGCACTATTCTCATCATTCTGTCGTCAGCTGGTATGAAATGTGTCTCAGCTTTTAGCATAGTAAAATTTAAACAGCAAGTATGATAGTTTGTGTGACTGCACATTTTTTGGTTGGGTTTCAGCACCAGCTTGTAGAGTGGGAAGGTGGACAGCTCCAGTGTGCTGAGCGCATTCAGAACCACTAATGCTGGACAGCTCCCTGCACAGTGGAATAGCATCCAGTAGTGTTTGTGTGTGTGTGTTTGTTGAATTGTAAAAACCTTAATTTACAGTAGAATATTGATAACTTCAAGCCCTTTAAACATATAATAATGATCATGACAATGTTAAAACTATAGTCACCAGGCCATTTTCACGGTAAAGACGGTTTCACACTGCTGGAATTATAGCTTGTATGTGTGGTTACAAATTGTTTTTTTTTCATCTTCTCTCACTAGTGTATATCATGTGGAGTGTAGTGCAGTCTGTGTGCACATGAAGCCAGGTGTTTCCGACCTTCTGATTGTTTAAATTGTGTAGCATTTAAAAAACAAACTATATGTTTATATATATATATAGTTTGGGGGGGGGGTTTCCGCTGCTTTGTTTGTTTGGAAAATTGCATTCTATCACATGTGATGTCGGTTGAATTCATATCATTCAGTTTAATGGATGGTTCGCTTTTAAAACATCTGTATTTGTCTTGTGCGTGTGTGTGGTTTGTTTCTGTTGGTGTGGCCCCCGCCCTTCTTGTTTCCACCCTGCAGAAGTTGATTTGTTATTCCATTTAAATGAAGAATGGCTATTTTTGTTTTTAATCAAATGGTAACCATGAGCCAGAGGGACAGAAGCTGCCGACCACAGCCAGGCTGATTTACACTCTTTCCCCCACCCCCCACCCCACAATCTTCTACTCTTTTTTTAATTCTCCTTATATTGCTCCCTCTCTTATGCTTTTGCATCCTCTGACTAATTCAGCTGCTCGCTTCTCCATCGCTGTCTTGTTGTTGTTTCTTCCACAGCTCCTCTTCAACTCCACATCTTACATCCCTCCCTTCTTATAATGTTTCTCCCTCTCTCACTATTACACTTTGAGCAGTAATGAGACAACAAAAGTGCTCAACTCCTTTTCTCAGCTTCAATTACTTCCCCACCCCCCCACCTTCTTTCTTTCGCTCTTCATCCAACTATCTCCATCTCCCTCTTCTGTTCACGTATTACATTTCTCACTCGATACTGAAATGGTAATGACACTCCAGGGTTTGGATTTGTCTTGTTTGAAAAATGTCATTGTAACCCCTCTGTAAGCTAAAGTACTGGGCAGTTACTAATTAAGTCTAGAGGTACTCTGAAGCAAAATGCATGATAAGATTAACAGTAATTGCAACTTGAATTAAATGCAGTAAATATTGCATTCAAATTTCACAATTTCAAGAAATCATTGTTATTTAAAAAACTAATTTCAAGTAACTCCATGGCAATTGTTGATCAATTATGATAAAAGCTTAGTTTCACAGCATGACTTCCTGGAAATTAGGTCATCATTTTTAGAAACAGCCTTTTTTTGCCATGGAGTGAAGGAACAGTCTTGTAAGTGTTGAATATAAGCAATCATCCACGTAAAATGTACTTTTTCACTCACCTGAGGTGTGTTATGTATATATATCTTCTGGAAGGGGGGTTATTAATGTAAGCTGGGCATGGGTATACACTTGAATATGAAAGTGTTTTGTGTCCCCATGATTATCCTAAAGTTAATTGTTATCAGACATTTCATTGATTTCTTAGTATGTTCCCATTATAAATCAGGACTCGGTGGTAAGGATTATTCTGACTGTGTATACAGGAGAGGAACTGTGTGATAAAATGTAAAGGGCATGGCTTACGGTACCCACTGACTGAATTATGTCTTTGTCACTGGATGTGTTTTTAGCTGGTGGAGCCTTTAACACCCAGCGGAACAGCACCCAACCAGGCCCAGCTTCGAATCCTGAAAGAAACAGAACTCAAAAGGGTCAAGATCCTCGGCTCTGGGGCCTTTGGGACTGTTTACAAGGTAAAACGCACACAAAAAATCGAGTTATAGTGATGTTTTGCATGTGTTTCAGTTAGTACTTGGCCAAATAAATTATTATATTCCTAAATTTGAGATCATGATGTGAGATCTTGCAAAAAAGAGACAAGAGAGACAGATTGCAGGATCATTAATGACAGGAAATGAGATGGAAGGCTGGAGGCGGTGGATGAAAAGAATAAGTAATAGCAGAAGCTTAGACCCCTGAGGTTACAGTGAAATAAGAGGTAGCTGAGGTCACCACCAGTGTGATGATTGGTTGGGGAGAGGTAGAGAAAGACACAGCTGGAATTAGAAAGAACAGACTTTCTCTCTATACTGAAATCATCATTTGTCATTTTGTAGATATATTCACATTATAGCACATTTCTGGGTCAGAGGTATGGTAGCAGGAGCCCAGATGTCCGTTTTCAAAGCAACATCTTGCATATTTCCCTGGGGAATCTCCAGGAACCTCTAGGCATGTAAGAATATATAGTCCTTTTAGAGTCACATGGGTTGAGCCCTAGGACCCATTTTTACTTGGTGGCCAAGATGAATCAGAGAGGTACCTAAATCTCCTCCATTGGATCCTCTGGGGGCTGAGGAAGAGTTGGTTGCTGCTGAGATCAGTCAGTCAGCAGACTAAATTCAGCAGCTGGATTGCATGATTTTATTATTTCACACAACTCAGAGGTCATAGCTAATGTTGAGTGTTTTGCTTTGGGGTTTACCTCTGTTTTCACTAAAATATATAATTATATACAAATAATATAAAATGAAATAAATGTACAATATTGCAAAACCTGAATGTGGTTGATTTGAGAACAAACTATTCTGCTGATTAATAACAATCTATACAAGTGCAGGTAGAACGTCAGTGTCTCAAACAGAGGCATCACATTAAAATTACAGTAGATGCAATGGGCTTGCTGCCATTGGGATATGTATTTACATGCAACAGAGAACAAACGTGGGACACATTTGGAAAAAGTTGACAGGCACTTGATTTCCCTCCTCTTTTAAATGCTTTGACCACTTAGCAGCTGCTAAATCACTTTAATCCCACCTGAAATTAGATTTGAAGGACAAAATAACCTTTAATCATACAGCATGCAGAACACTACCATACTGCCTGTGAGAATATGGATCATTATTAGGAAAGCTGACAAAGTAGAATTCAGACTGAAATATCTTCAATTTATTAACTGAAATTCCTTCTTTTCAAATCTTTAACATATTTATTTTATAAAAATGTTGGTGAGTGGGAGTTTTGTGACTTTCCAATCAGTATAATGACTCATCATCTGTTTGTGTGTGTGTGTTTCTTTTAGGGTATTTGGGTCCCAGAGGGAGAAACGGTGAAGATTCCTGTAGCCATTAAAATCCTTAATGAGGCCACGGGACCGAAGGCTAATGTGGAGTTCATGGACGTGAGTATCCTGAAAACTGGAAAAAAAGAGAAAAATAAATTCCAGTATTTCATTGTTTTTCCGTTGCTATGTTTCTATCAGATTAAACCTGACAATAGTTCTCCACATTTTAAACTCACCAACAACAAATTTGCTACTTTCTCAAAATATATTTTACTATATAGAAGTACTTCAACCTGGGTTTGGTCAGGTTAGTCCAGCAGATACTGTTGCTAACGTGACTTATAGGTAGGTGTTGGAATATAATTTATGATACATTTCTCAGTAATTTTTAGAAGAAAGGATAACTACAGCTCCTTTGGTGAAATAAAGCTATTGAAAACTAACTTTAGACCCTGTAGACTACAGAATAGAAACCACAAGAGCCTCTAGGACCCCTACACACCCCCAGATACAGACACACCATTCCACAGGCTCCCAGCACAGTGTACGAGACCCCATTTATAAAACATTCACAGCTCGGCTCATTTCAAAAGGAAAATTGAAAAAAAAAGAAATCAAAATTATTACCCCATGATGATGCAATGCAGATGAAATAACCCCCATCAACACACGTACACATGCAGACACAGGCACACACACACTGAAAGTGACCCAATTGCACTCATGTTTTGCACTTAGTTTGACAGTCTAAGAGGAAGAGTTTTGGAGTGTTAGCATTTCTATTTTTACCAGGACGTCTTTGATGAATATCCTACGTGTGTTTAATTTAATACGCCATGTGCTTTAATGGGCTTGTCTGACAATCAGAGAACCAGATATCAGCAATGAAAGGATGCCATACAGGGAGACAAAAGTTGGTGATATATATATATATGTGTATATATATATGTATCTTTATATAGAGAGAGAAGAATGTACATATCAGTGTACACTGCATATGCATATATTAGCATACTTGCATGCAAAAAGCATGCTGTTCATCGCCTGATGTATGCATGTGTATGTACCATGACACAAAGGCAGCTTCTCACCGCCAGCCCCCCATCCAACACTCACTCAGATGGATTGTGTGACAGAGTGTGCATGCATAACTAAGGATGCTTATTTACATGGCATGCTGGTTAGTGAGGAAGATAAAAAATGATGAAATTATATGTTTGACTGAGAGCATTTGCATCGGAATGTTTTTTTTTTCTTTGATTACAGAAGCAGTGATAGTGTTAACAAATCAGATTGCATTACTGTTGGAAATTTCTAATATAACTGACTAGTCAACTAGGAAACAGCAGGGGAGACAGAGATTGTGATTGCAAGAAAGCAGAGAGATTAACTAAAACTAATAGAAGTGGCAGAGTAAATTGACAGATGTTTGGTTTATTAATTAATTTTTTTCTCCCAGTAAAATAAATGTTCCACCTTATTTTCCAGTCAGACTTAACTTCATATTCATCCAGTTCCACTATTTTCTTTTTTGGCTGCCGAGCAGCTGGGGGCTCAGCCTCTGCTTCAGGGAACATCAGTGATAGTTACAGAAGAAAAGGGGAGTGCCATTCATTTACTTTAACCATCCATATTTTCCCAGGCAGACTGGGAATTCTGACTGGTGACCTTCTAGCTGTAGGCCACACTCAGTTGCCACTGACTGTTTGAAGAATGTCACCAAGGATTGATTGTCCTTTAGTCTGCGCGTGCCTGTGTGTGTGTGTGTGTGTGTGTGTGTGTGTGTGTGCTTCTGTCTAGAGTGTCCCACTCCTTACCTGTGGGGCACTCAGAGGAGGGAGGGTTCTGCTTTTAAACAGCAATCAAATGGGCCAAAGTGTTTGGCCCCCGTAACAAAATGCCAATACCGCGTCCCTGCTGTGAGTGCCGAACAAGAGCACAGGGTGTTAGACTGAGCAATATCATGCATGTACATGTATGCGTGCGTAAGGGTGTGCGTGTGTGTAATCCTAATTGTGGCTACAGGAATACAGTGCATGCTACAGAATGTTGTTCCTTTTTGAAGCCAAACTCCTCCTTAAGGCTTGTTTTCACAGAAGCAGGATAAACCCTTGTGGCCTGTCCTTGGAAACTGTATTCAGTAATATTGTTTCCCCTGTCTATGCAGAAGAATATGTTCTGTTCTTTTCATTAATGTTTTGCTCAGTAATTATTCTATACGAGAATCAAACAGACTAGAGTATTACACAAAGCACCTCTCAAAACAAAATTACAGTGATGCGCAGAAAACAGTTACAACACTGTCACTACAGTGTCATCAAAAAACTTTAATCTTTAAATCTTTCAAAATAACCACAGAGAAAGTTAGTGGTATTAAATGTGTAGTAAATAAAGTTGGATGTCAAGTGAACAAGGGTTTATGTTTTTCAGTACAGCACTTCTCAGGTTCCTTTTTTTAAACACTTTATTTCATTTGAAATTTATGAGAAATTACTTACTAAATCCTCTTTCATTACATATCATTTTGCTTGTAATTTTGCTCAACAGCAAAATGAGAAATTACCAGTGGGGGGTGAAATCTTTCTCAAGACACTACAAAAAAACATCACAGGAGGCTACTTATGCAGTCTCGTTCGCTCTGCCTCTGAGAACATTCATACAATCATACACCCATGCAGAAACAGCAGATATACCTTCTACTTGATGAATTTATAATCTATTGTCATAATTCCATTAATCACAGAAAAAAATACATAATTATGTTTCAATTAGTATACTGATTACTATACTACAATAGTTCACTAAATAGTTTGATCCAATTTTGTCATATATGCCGTAGTATTGGTTCTTTCAGTCATGAAAGGAATCTTGTCCAAGCAGTCAAACAGTAGGCAGACAGAAAGGCCCATTCTCACAGACTTTCTGATTTACCATCACCATTACTGTACAATATGTGGTACTGGACATCTCCAGCATCTGATTATGCAAGTGTTGTGATACATGAGCCATATACTGTAAATCCTAGACTGTGTTATGGTTGTATCTCTCTGTCAGTGTTCAGTGGACCTCTACACACACTGTATATCTGTCTCTCCCCAATGCACAACTACCTTAACTTATGTTGTGTATTCTTGCCACACAGCTATCCATCTCATGATGAATTGTCATATTAACCCATAACCCCTGCAGTCACAGGGTTTTGTGTGTGTGTACTGACGTCTTATGTTCAAAATAATACGTTTGTATGCCACAATCCTATGCAATATTGCAAACATATAATATAATAAACATTATATGATGAATATGTAACATTTGCTCTTGTTCTAAAAATCCTGCACATAATGGTGTTGACACTACAGGCTCCAAAGTTCAAAGCTCTATAAATAATGTACTGTAGCAGCTTCTTCATATGTACATATTTGCAGACCAAATTTAGGAAATAACACACAGAGAAACGTGATATACAACAATCTCACCTTGGTGTATTTACTACATTTTTAGTCTGCTACAAAGCATGCTGACAGTCTTGAGAAGCAGTGGGTCGCTTTGATCTCAAGGTTTTGAATAAAAATCTACTGTTTCTGACTTAGTGGAACCTTGCTGCTCACTTCAAGAGAAACTTCTGCCTTAAACAGAATAAGGGTTTCTACCAGATGGTCTTTGACAGTTCAGTCTATACATAACATGATGCATTGTGTGTTGAGTCTCTGAATTGCTCTGGCATTTGTTTTTTAACACTAACGGAAAGACTACCTGTTTGAGCACAGTATAACACATGAATATGGTATTATCTCCACTTGTTCTGAATATGCAAAAAGAAACACATCCTAATTAGTAACAGTAAGAAGTAAGTTATGTAAGTATGTTATCGACAAAGTCATTAAAAAATGATAATTCAAGTTTATGTATTTAAACATTATAATTTGAATAACCCGATTGTTCTTCTGATAATGAACAACCCACTTATTTTCTATGGCTTACAGTATATCATAAACATGATTGGAATAGAATTTTAGTTTCAAAAATGTACACAGAACTACCCAAGATGACAGAAATATGACAGTGAGTATTTTCTGTTTGTGTTTTGCTAAAATAGTTGGGTATTGCCTAAATTTAATAACACTGTAGAATCTGTTGACATACGTACTATCTTAAATGTCATCCTTCATCCTCAGCCCTTTCCCCCACATGCCTGAGTGTAAATCTGTCTCATTCAGGAGGCCCTGATCATGGCTAGCATGGAGCACCCCCACCTGGTCCGCCTGCTGGGCGTCTGCCTGAGTCCCACTATCCAGCTGGTCACACAACTCATGCCTCACGGGTGCCTGCTCGAGTATGTCCACGAGCACAAGGACAACATCGGATCCCAACTGTTGCTCAATTGGTGTGTCCAGATCGCCAAGGTAAGAATGGAGAAGGTTGCTAATTAGCTCTTTTACCTGCTGTATGTTTGGTTGGTTTGGTGATTGACTGGTGGCTTGGTTTGGTACTTGGCCGTCTGGTGGATTGGCGATTCACAGTGATTTGTTACCATAACAGTTTGTTTACTGCTGGACGTCTTAATTGATTGCTGCTTTTTTGCTCCCTTGACTGCTGCACCAAATATCAAGATTTAAACTTAAATACGTAATTTTTGATTGTTGTTTCTTTTTGTATTGACTCACCTACAGTGTGTGCTATGTTACTTTAACAAATAAGTTTCTCCCATCTCCATGTCACAGGCTGCCATGCACTCTTACCCCTTTTGAAATCTTAATGTTTAAATTTGTGTTTGCTTTGGATTACAGACACACACAACTACTGAACCACCCTTATGCCCTTTTATAACATTTCTCAGCTAATAGAGGCTAAGTCAATTTCTACATGCTTTCAGAGGGAAAAGATGTCTTTGTCCGTCTATAGAAAATGGCTGCAAGCCAGAGACAAGCGGTTGATATTTGGTAGTGTCCATGAGTGTGTGTTGGTGTGTGTTGGTGTGTGTGGAGGATTCAGCAGCAGAGAGCGGCGCCCCTTGCCAGCCTCTCTGGAGAACTGAAGTTAATAATTCAAAGCCTTGCTTGACTTTGGTGGGGGAAGTGTTGAGTGCAGTGAGCTCAGTGTTACAGGATCATGGATGTAGGAGTGCATTATAATTCGTCTTAATCTAGATGTCAATATTAATAGGTGACATTGATGATCATTCTTTGTCTGTCTCTGTCCTTCTATGTATCAGAAGGGTGTAGATAAAAAAGTAACAGACACACATGTCATCATAAAGTTGAATCAACATAACTTGAACATTGTATGCTTCGCAATCAAATTTTATTAATCTATTTATTCATTAGAGGCATACTTCTGTATATACCATATGATATAATTATATCTCCAAACATGCTGCGTTTGTTAGAAGGCTGGTGAAATTGTCATACACAGAGAGCAAAGTAATTGGTTTAAAAGCAAAGAGAAGCAGAATGAAAATGACTCAACAGTCGTTGCAGTCCCAGATTTAATATCTTAGACAAATATTTCTGTTGCCATTTTCGGCTAAATCAGAGGAAGGCAGTACTCCAGTGAGCTGCCATGGGAAAATATTAAACCATCAATTAAACGTTAGGACACGATTACGATCATACCACATAAAGTGCTTTTTTCATACCAAAGGCGATCAGAGCATACATTAAGTCTTGCCACGTTGACAAACTTCCCATGCTGTGTAACACAAATATTTTCATGGTATGAAATTAATCACATAAATTACTTTGTGGAAAAAGGATGTAGATTGGCTATATATACACATGAACAAATCTATGCCTGCTGTGAACAGTTGTCAACATGGAGAGATGTATAATTCATAAAGGGTAGATATGATGATGTATTATTTACCACTGCTATTGTGTGTCTCAAGTGTGTATTGTTGTAGTGTTGTCAATGATTGGCTATAGCTCCTGGGGACTCAAATAGTCGTCAGGGGCCATGGTTAATAAGGTGCCCACACATGGGTCTATGCTTACACAAACATAGTGTCCTACACAATGGACTTGAATAATGCCAACAAGGATACTTAACACTGAATTTGGACAATTAGCCTTTGCCTTGAACACCATCAACATTCCGATGTATAGTGCTCATATAACTTATCCCAGATTTGAGTCATAGAGCTTTCCTGCAGATTATTTAGTTATCTTTAACATGGATATATATACGTCAACTTATGCAGGGTCTTACAGGCTCTCAGGGCTCTTGCATGTGACAGGGCTTCACACTCTGAGGCAACATCCTTGTGGCCCTCCCTCTCTGTCATGGCCGCCATCCCAGTCATAGATTATTAATGGAGTGATCTGCCATGAGAATCATACTAATGAGCGGATTCATTAGCGATACTACGCATGCAGGGCTCTGATGCCACAGAATGTTTTTTTTTTCCTTAGGACTGATTTTTCTTATCCTGTTTTATCTTTCTATACGCCCCTACTATATCACTTTCTCCTCATTATGTCTGCTTGCTTTTTAAATCTCCTACTTGTCACCCACTCTTCATGTATATAAAGTATAGGGCTGCTACTCTATCAGATGTTTGATTTTCGAACCACTACTGCAATACTAAGAATTATATATTAAAATAAATCCTGCGGCGTCTTTAGATATAAACAGCTCATTCTAAGGTAACAAAGACATAATGATTCTTATTTTCAAAAGCTTATACACTGATGAAAACATAGTTCTTCTTCCAATAGAAGCTTCTTAAGGTTTAACCATATTCAATTCAAATTTTTTCTAAATTACAGGATGGTTTCTTATTCGAATTTTCTACTACTACTGCCCTTGTAAAACTTACAAAATATGTATTCTCATCCTTGACAAAGGTCAGTTGACTTGTGCAATTCTTTTTTTAATCAACCAAGGCTTTCGATTTGGTGGACCATTATCTTTTTTTGATAGATTTTATGCTATTTGGTGTTTCCTAATAGGCCTCTTTCTGGTTCTGATACTTATCTTAATAGTTGTCATCAGTGCGTTTTGTTTGTTTGTTTGTTTGTTTTTTTTATCACAATCAATCCGATTATTTAACTGTTCAAATATATATATATCACAAAAACGTATTTTAGGACCGTAACCTTTCTCTATAATAATTTCTTCCAATTGTTTTGTTCAGTTATGCAGATGACATGGATACACATCTGATTTCAGTATAGCTAAAACTCAAAGTTTTCTGCAATCAGAATTTTCTCTTTCTCTCCTATTATTGATCATAGTGATATCATACACCAGAACATCTCTAAAATATATCTTCATTATATTCACTTAGACATACTCAACACCCTTTTCATTGTGCCTAGAATTTGTAAAGAAATTGGGAGACCTGCTTTTAAGCCATTAGACTGAAATACTTTGTTCAACTAAAGATCAATTTCTTCTTTTCGTGACTACATGCTTGTTTACCTCAAGTGTACTTGTTTTTGCTTCATTTTTAGTACATGTGTTTGCGAATGTGGGAGAGCCCTTTGTGCATGTTTTTGTCACTATGTTGACTGTTTTGTGTTATTGGTTCATTAAATTTGTATATTTTCTGTTATTTATGTATTTATTTTTTGTTTAGGTTCAGTGTGTAACATTTAGGAGGATGTATCGGTAGAAATGGAATATAATATTCATTAGTGTATAATCGCTTTCACTATGTTGAACCGAAGAGACAAACCAAACACTGGCTCTACATTGGGCCATTGGCATTTTTCACGGGTTTCATGGCCACTGTAGTTTGTCTTTTGTGCTTGGAAGAGGAGAGTGAAGCAAGGAAGTTGCAATCTGTGACTACAACGCTATATGTCACTAAATCCTACATACTGGTCCTTTAAATGTTAATTGCCATGTTTTTGTGCCTGAGGACCCACTTGAAAATGAGATGATGCATCTCAAGGGTTTATCCTAAAATAACATTTTTAAATTAGATAAAAATTATATTATATATTTATTTATATTCAATAATTTACCTCTGACACAAATTTATCCAGTAGTTTAGGGAAATGATATCCACTTGTAAACATGGTTTTCAGTTAAATATTTACAGTTATAGAGATGGCTTGATACCTAGTTTAATGTCTGATACTTACAGTAGCAAAATACCACAGGCTCTGCCGATATCACTCTGATAGACCAAAAGAGAAAGAAAGACAGGAGATGATATCATATACATTAATGAACCCATACTACACTGATAACAATAGATATTTCCTCTTTCATATTTTAGCTGTCAACAATCCATTCATTTGAAAATGGGATGTTCCTGGCAATGTCTTGTGATAAGCACTTAACTCCACTTTAAACTTGTAATGCATTAACATCTCCTTCATTGGATTATTTGTGAGCCATAAAAATGTTTACCCTGGGGCACAGCTTTTTGCATTATGCTTAAGCTTGTGCTGTCAGAGTTATTAATGACAAAGGAGAAACATTGGAATTCCATACTGTATGTTAGCTGTTAAAACTCACCACTTTGTTTTTTAACTAGCTTTTAAATGAATTCAATGACTTGCTTGTACAATTGGGAGACAGCTGTTTCAGAGATGAAAGATCAAGGCTCCAGATATTTAAGCTACAAAACACCACACACTTTGCATCTTATTGCAGCTGTTCACACTCCCACGGTACTAGAGACTGGCATGATGTTGTCACATGATATATTGCTCTAGGGATGGCAATGTCAGTTAGTTGGTCCAGCACTTTGGTCCAGGCTGACATCTCAGTAACTATTAGATGGATTGCCATGAACAGGTAAAAGTTTTGACTTTGAAATATCTCAAAGTCTACTAGATGGATTGCCCACTGACTTTGTTTATCTACTGACTTTTCCTATAGTACTATTGTGTGGTTGACTTGAAATTGAATGAAATGTCTTGACAAATATTGAGTAGATTGCCATGAAATTTGGTCCATACGTTTATATATGCTACATGGTGAATTATCCCTCAAAAAACCTCAAGCTACACTCTCAAAACTCTCTTACACTCTCTTGACTTTTATTGAATTAATAATGAGTATTGTAGTCTAGAAAAGTCTGTAATCTAGTTATTTAATTCAGATTTCTGCAGCCAGCTGTAAAAGACAGAGTGAAATTGTTTATTCTTATACGTCCCTAGTGTATTTTGTGTATCTCTTAAATTTATAGAGAATTTGGTAAAACTATTGCATATTTTTTAATGCAATGCTGTAATTTACCTTTCAGTGTAATCTGACACCCTTCTTTTCAATCTAAACTGAAAGAAGTCGGTCAGTTTAATTCATCTGAAGTTTGAAAACGGGACTGTTGCTGTAAGGCACCAAAGTGACAGGCACCCTGTTATAGAATGAGACAAGTTGAAAGGCTCTACATGAATTATCTTGAACTAATTTAAGAAAGAGAAAAGAAAAAGGGAAATTAGATCATAAA